CCCCAAAACCCCAAAACCCCAAAACCCCAAAACCCCTTTAGTAAACCTAAATATAGAATCCTCTATAGAATTAATGGTGACTAAATCCCAGCTTTGTATTGTACCCTTATTAATATTACATCGCTAGGGGAACAGCAGGAGGGCATAAACCAGAGTAATCTACTGTATAGAAAGAGACTCAATTAGTGATAGGTTATTTTATAAAAATTGAGCTTATTAAATAATAAAAAAGACAATAATATATCAAGTATATTGAACTAAATGAGCATCATCAGCTAAATTCTGGAAATATTATATAAACCAAGAAAATGGGAATTAATTTCTTTATCTGTATTCAGAGTCATTCTCAAATAAAAGAGCTAGGCTCTGGAGAGATATATAACATTATTTTCATAACTAGTTTATAGGGTATATTTGATCTATGTCTTCTCTTACAGAACAGCCCACCGTTTGTATTTTTGAAAATTTATGTTCTGAAATATCATGAAAGAAAATTAATTTAAGATAGAACACCAAATTTGCGAAGCAAGTTGAATGATTTAGTTGAAGTCTTCAAACTAAAGTTACAAGTAAAAATAGCATTGCTTGGAGTAATTAGATGATGATAAATTTACCAAAGAGTTTAGGAAGAGATCCAATTTTAGAAAACCAGTGAAAACCCCAAAACCCCAAAACCCCAAAACCCCAAAACCCCAAAATTGCTAATAGATATTGAGATTTTCAACTATCTTAAATTCTTTAATTCACTGAAGAAAATGTTCTTCTCTCACTCGACTATTTCCTTATTAATCTGAGTTTTTATGTTAGCCACTCTATTCATGTCACTAGTCAAGTTGTTCTCCTTATACAGCTCCTTTGCTTCATCGAATTTTCCTTCGAGTTCAAAATTAAGAGCTTTCTGGTAGGCTTCGAGGTTGATTTCCCAAGAGTTGAAATCAGAGAGTTCAAGGTCGTTGATGTCATCGACACGTAAAAGGGTGTCAAAATCCTTATAAATGTTTCCTAGATCTTCCTTCTTAAGTTGTTTTTTAGAGAAATTAGCTATCTGCTCCATTGATTTGACCAAACTAGTGTGTGGAGTAGAGCTACCTGGATTCCATTGCTCCTTAATGTAGTTGATTATACTGAGGATATGTACTTGCTTACAAAAGATCCCAATTGTGTTTAGAAGTTGAGTTGATTTCATAGCCACTGCTATTTTGAGAGCCTCTTCGTGAAGATTTAAAGTGAGATACTTAATTCCAATTTTTAGGAAATAAAACTCAATTGTGTGGAAAAAGTACTGAAAGTCTACTGAATCCTTTGCTCTTTTATATAACTCAATAAGATCAGTTACATAAATTCTTCCTGAGCTAAGCAAGACTCCATTCCTGAGAATTTCATTTAAGAATAGAATTCAGCACTGTAGAAAAGTCTCAGGATCATAAATACAGGTTCTCAAATACTCAAGCATATGACGATGATTAAGTTTAAATTTCAATATCTTCATCAAGTAAACATCATCAATTCAGGGAGAAATTTCATGAGATTGTTCTGAGGAGTTGCCAACCTCAAACCTATACATCTTGAGCATATTGTTATGTTGTATGATCATGATAGGGTCTGACAAAAAGGTGACCTTCATCTCACCGTCTTCTTCATTTGCTCCACTCTCGTCCAGTTGGGAGAACAACTGGTAGTTGTTACATCCATAAAAATTATAGTTAACTATTTCATCTTGTTTGGGAGCCAAAGCCTTGCTTTTGATTATATCGTAATACTTTGACTCTTCTCTCGGCTCATGGCTGCTATTGAAAGAAGACCCATACCCTTGGAGCCGTGTCTTTTGGGATAATTCTATGAATTGTTTTATTGGTAACAATTTTGTATATGCAAAGAGATCCTTTACAACTACTGACACTGTGTATAATCTCAGATGGCTAGAAATATCAAAACTAAATCTTACGTATCAAGCAGGAGAACCTTATTGGTACTTGTCAAGACCATCAATAATGTATCTAAATTTTTAGACAATAGCTTACCTTTGAAATACCATTTTATGTGACATATTTCCTCTTTCAGCTTTGAGCCCTCAAGTTTGTTGATCATTTGTACGGTTTCCTCAAGCATATAGGAATAGAGGTTGTTCATGCTACTCAGAACAACAACTTTGCACAGACTCTCGCTGAAGCAATATTGAAGCACATCCTCATTTTCATCCATTTCAAATTGTGTCTATAAGTTACTGATAGAAGAATACAATAGTCTCTGAAGAAAATGCTTCGTTTTCAATAAAGAACTTCTCGATCTTATGTGAGGATGATGATCCAAAGCTATCATCCTCACCTACTTCGAGCTGATCGTAGAATTCAGGGTTCTTCTTACCAATAGCATAAAATACATTTGTGTCACTGTTTGAGAACGCAAAGCCATACACAGATTTCAAGGTTAACGGCAGAGAATCAAAGTTGACTATTAGCACTAAGTCAAGAGACACATTGGTCTTTGCCAAGTTCTCATTCGCGTTATAAATCTCAATAGTCTGTTTATTAGAGACAAGAATGTACTTCTTATTCTTACTCAGGGACATTTCTGAAGGATTATCTATCTTACATTCAACAAGCCCTGCAATGAGATCTCCCTGGTCGAAATTTGTCAATGTGTTGTCTTCCTTATTAGATGCGACATAGCAGATAATACCTTGCTCTATGAGCATACAGACAGGGTATTTCTCAGTGGCAATAATCTTGCTCAGCTTGAATCCTGTCATCTGCTTCAGATGGTCAGTTATAATCAAGTTTCTGATATTGTACTCCTTTAATTTTTGAAATTTTGACCGAGAGTCGTTAGAATACATACTTCTCCTCTTTGTCACGCGGTCAGCTTCGTCTGAGGCATATGTATAAGTAAATGATATTATCGTAGCGTAATCTGTGAATACATACACCTTCAGAGATAGCTTAGAAGGTTCCCTATATCCTGATAAGATATTTCATGAGCAATCCTCACCTGTTCATTTTGGAAGTTGCGACATGGATGATCTTTTCAGTTTCAAGTAACTCTCCTAGCTTGGGATCTTCTTCTACTAATTCTTGTGCTAATGAAGATAAATTTAGCCTATTTTCATGCACAAAAAATTCTCCAAGTCCAGACATTTGTCAAAATCAAATTATATTCCAATAATTTTTTGAAATTTAGGGGTTTTGGGGTTTTGGGGTTTTGGGG